GTCCGCTGCTCAAACTGCAATCCGCTCGCCTTCCGCGGCTGATCTGATTTCTGTCGGTTGGGGTTTCGCTTTTATTGACGCAGTCAAAACTGGGGTGGGTCTGTTTGGCGTTGGGGATTCTTCGATAATTCTAAATACATATCCACCCTTCTTATTTCTGGTTAGGGATTTTCCATTTTCGGTAACTCACTTTCACTCCCACTTTCTCACCATGCTTCTGAGGGGCGTGTACCAACCTCCCCGCTTCTTCGTATCGGCTGGTTACACTTCCACTTCTGACAAGGGCGTCGACCGATTCTCTTCGTGCGTCACGTGACCGCTCTTGGCCAATGAGGTCCTGGTCATGTATCTTTCTTCCTCCTTCGTGTGTCATGTGACCGCTTTCGGCCAATGAAGTCCTGGTCGGGTATCTTTCCTCCTCCTTCGTGTGTCATGTGATCTTATTTAGCCAATGACGTCTTTAGTCGGGTGTGGACAATCCGTGGCTTTGTTTTGGGGAAAGAAACACCTTGCTAAAAAAACAAAATATAAATTTAAATCGCCCTTATCATACGCGACCGAGATGACGCTCTCGGCTTTTTTAACACGTGGTATTTGTCAAGCAGTTTATCGCTAATTGGATATGACCTAAGAAAGGGATTTCTCAGACTGGGTGGCGTTTTCGTGAACGAATAAAAATATTTCACTTTTTCTTTCGCTCGAAGCTTGATAACAAAAATCTTCATTATCTCAAAAAAAAACATTTTCAGCGAACATCATTTTGTGTGGCTTTTTCCAGTTCTGGAAATTGTCTGTGTTTTCGTATTAATGGTTTGTCTTCATATCCTTAGATACACTTCCCCACCCACTTAGACCTCTGCTATCACTTCAATGACACACTTTCCACCTGCTACCTATCAATATTTTTCATTGTTCCTAAACTTTGTTTCTTCAACCACTTGATAATCAACTTCCATTTTTCGTGGACACGGAAGTAGGTCAGGTGCTTGACCTGGAATTTTTCGACATCTGGTATCTGTCAGCCGTGCCCGTGTGTGCGCTCGCCTCTGACCTGTTTTCATATTATTTTTTCTTTCTTTCTTCTTCGTTTTCTCTTCCCTTCTTCCAGATCGCTTGAACGTAAAGAAAGAATTATTCTTAAAACCCAAATATTTTTCGGCTTTAAATAATTATCAAATGGTTGATAAACCGTAAAAAACAAATCATATATCTATGAATATTTCTTTCAAATCGTCAGGATATGCATGGTGCCACAAAACAATAAAAGGTAGGATTCTGTCAGATGAGACTCAGTAATAATTAAAATCGAAATAATATCTATATATGTCGGGGATTTATCGGTTTATGAGCGTCTTTATTTCCGGACACGTGTGTTCTGACATTAACTTACATAAATTAGTAGTATGGACGAAAAAATTAATAATTTTCATTTTGCGTACAAAATAGCCGACTTTTTTTCTATTTAGTCAATTAGACAATTGCGTATTGAACTGGTTTGGTTTGATTTGGTTTGTTTTACGGCATGTCAACCCCAATGGGTTATTTAATGCCGACAAAATTTTTATTGTTGGTAATATTTTTTTTCAAACATGTACTGCTAGTAATATTATCCCTTCAAATTACTGGTAATATTTTTTTCCAAAAATGTATAGCTGATAATATTTTTATTTTCAAAATAGTATTGGTGGCAATAATTTTTCTTCAAGAAATTTATTGCTAGTAACAATATATTTACAAAGTATTTCTGGTATTAAGACCTATTTTTACACTTTCATAGTGTTTTGCCACCAGTTTTGGGGTTAACAATTTACCAATAGCCGGGACCCTAAAAGTTGCTACAACCCGGGTCAGGGTGGACCTGGGAAAATCAGCAGTTTAGAAGTGGTTCCACGCTCCTCAAAACCTCCTGATCAGTGGCCTTGCTTTTGGATGTAGTTTATCGTCTTATCCAGGATGCGGATGTAGTTTATCGTCATACCCAGGTCGGGCAAATTGAACTGGGTGCGGGGATTGTATGTGCGGTGTATATATGAAACTTAAACTAATACGTATTGTTATGAATAATAAAGAGTGCTATACCCTTGTTTTGTTATTCTCTTCTATGAGAGAGATCTTTCTGTTTACTGGGACTATAAAAGGACACTATGCGCGAACCTTTTATTCTCTTACACATATCTAAGCACCGACTCTGTAACTTCTAATAACGATGAAGCCCGGAATTTTCCTATGGAGTTTATAAATTCTCTTACAACTTCTTGAATAACTGCCCATCGCCTTAAAAGTTTGAATAATTATTATGTTTCTTAGAGACCTCTCTATAACTCTATAATTTGAAAGTACTTTCAGCTCCACTAGCACACCATCAAAGAACCAATTATGAGTGGATCTCACTCTCAGACGAGATTACTGATTCCAAGAATCAAATTTAAACCAAGCAATGTAAACAGTCTATTTGTTCTGCATTGGACCCAGTTCCCGGGATGTATGACCAATTCTATGATAATCAAGAAAGCACATGGCCAATGAATCCATAGAGTTGAAATACCCTTGCCACAGCCATGCTTCACTCGTGGCCAGCTTTACGTAACCTTTTCAACAGCAAAGGCGATGAGGAGTGTGTAATTTAAAGTGATACCTCAAAACGAATCTACTCATAGTCGCAGAAGGGGAATCACCTTCAATAGAAACATTGTATATAGGGAAGTGCTGTAACGAATGGATTTCATATATACTTTTACACAATCATTTAAAATAAAAAAATATATTATTAATGTAATGACAAAAGTACGCAAAATTTAAGAAAGATTTATTCAACTGAGAATACAATGTTACGTATAGTGTCCTTTTATAATCCCAATAAACAGAAATATCTCTCTTAAAGAGGAGAGTAATAAAACAATGGGAGACCACTCTTGATTTATCTTAACAATTAAATATGAAATAAAGGATAATATAATTATTTATTATCCAAAATAGTGCAAGTTATACACTTTTGATTAACTGATAAATATTCATTGGACAATATTTAAATTAATCGTGAGTTTTTTTTCAGGTGTCCAGTTAGTTATTATTTTTATTATTATCTTGTCTTGATGTCAAACTCATTACTGAATTTTATTTTCATAATGATTATTTAAATACATTATTTCTTCTTTTAGACTTTATCCTGTTATAAAGAGATTTCAATAAAATTGTATTTAAATCCGTTAGTACATGAATAATAGCCATAATAATATTATCTTGAATTTTCATAATATGAAGAAATGCCGGGCAATAGACCTCAAAATAAAACCGTGGCTATTAACATTTTAGTTCAGCAGGACGAAATATGTACATATTAACAACTGTAAGCAATTAAGATCAGAAGCTATGTGAACGATTTCTAGAATATTATTATTATTATTATTATTATTATTATTATTATTATTGATGATGATGATGATGATGTTGTTTTTGTTGCTAGCAGTGGTTAGTGGATTTTATTTTTTATAATCCTTATTTAAATACGTATTTCTTTTTTTTATATCTTCTTTATTTTGTTATAAATAGATTTTAAAATAATAGTATTTAAACCATTGCCTCCTCCAGTAATTATAATTTTATCATTCAAGATAATGTCAACGTGAAATTCTTAATCAATTCTCTTCTTTATTTTTACATTTTTTTAAAAAGTTATCATTATCACCGGCACCTTACTTATTATAATAGCTTCTTTCTGACGTTAATATCGACATTTTTTGGTTCGTAGTTGTTCTTAATGGATTAATTGATTTTTCTTTCTTATTTTTACAACCATCCATTATTGACATAGCAGCCTTCGTCCTTGCGATTAAATTTCATCCATTTTTCTCCTCCCTGACGTACGCATTTTGCGCCATTATTATCTGTGTTCAATTTTGCAGCTTTTCACTCCGAGCCTCGTTTTCGATTATTTCATTTACGCCATACTGTTTTTGCTCTTCTTTTGACACCAATATCTTTTCCATATTTTTTCTTTTATTTTCTCGTACAATGTCTTCCCTTGTAGATCTCCCAGGCAGTTCTAATATAGCTATTGGTTAGTGAGCAGGCGGACAGAGTTTAAGGTAAGTAGGGTCGAGGTGTAACTGGCGATAGGGAAAATAGGACTTGGGGGTCTCAATAGTTGAAGATGGTGATGACGGTCTGGGAAATGCATGTTTTGGTGATTACAAGTAGTAAATTTCAATGTAGGGATTGAAAGACTTGTGGTGGAAAACAAGAATACAGAAAATGAATTTAGAATGATGATGAAAAATAAAGGACATAAAACTCATGAGAACAAGTAAATGGTTAATATTGACGGTAAAGCAACGTAAAGAAAACACAAAGCGAACATATTGCGATTGGCGAAATGAAGAAAAGAAAGTAAGATAAAGATATCACATAAAAGAACATAAGGAAATAAACGATTTAAAACATAAATGCGATGAAAGTTAGAAGAGAGACAAAAGCGAAAAAAGAAAATTAAAGAAAAGAATAAAAGGGAATTAATGAAGAAATAAGAAAAGATAAGAAAGAGAAAAAGAAATAGAAAAGAGACTCTCAGTTATATATTGTAAATATAAACAACAACGACTGAAAGATGGAAAGACTTTGAAGAAGAGACTAGATATACCATGAAAGAAAGAAAGGAGAACAGCGAAGGAACGGAATAAATTGACAAAGAAAAGAAAGAAACGAATAATAAAGGGACATAACTGTGCAAAGAAAAACTAGGATATCGAAGAGAAGTCTATATATGAAGAAGGATCGAATGAAGGACAGGGAAAGAACAAATTAAATATATAACGAAATAAGGAAATAACATTGCAGAAAAGAATAAATGCGCAAGGAAGTAAAGAAGGATATTGAGGAAAGGGAATAAACCCAAAATGAAAAAACTTTGAAGAAGGAAAATATATATAAAGAACAAAAGGAGGAAATTAAAGAAAGCGAAATATATAAAGTGTGATTTGAAAAATAAGATTAACTTTCAAAAATTAAAAGAAAGAAGAATATTGAAAAGGGATTAATATACAAAGAAAGAAAGAAAGAAAAAAAGAAAGAAAGAAAGAAAGAAACAAACAAACAAACAATGAAAGACGTTGAGGGGAAATAAATATACAAAGAAGTATAGAAAAAAAGAACACTGGACATATTGAATAAATATACAAAGGAAAAAAAGGAAGGGGTCTTGAAAAAAAGGAAATAATTATACAGAGAAAAGAAAGAAAGAACCAAGTTGAAAAAATTACAGGGAAAGAAGGACATTTAAAATAATGAATAAATAGACGACGAAGGAAAAAGAACACTGAAAAAATACAAGTAAGAAAAGAAAGAATGTCATTAAAAAACAAAGGAATAGACAAAGAAGGAAAGAAAAAGGGCATTGAAGAAAGAGAATGATTATAATACAAAACAAAAAAAAGATATTGAAGAAAGGAAAAAATATACAACGAAGGAAAGAAAGAAAAGTCATTGAAAAAAATGGAATTCACAGACAAAGAAGGAAAGAGAAAAGGACATCGAAGAAAAAGAAAGATTATAAAAGCAAAAGACAGAAGGCTATTGAAAGAAGATAATATCTAGTACAAAAGAAAGGAAAGATAGAATAAGATTGAAGATCGTGAATACATAAAGAAGGAATGGAAAAGGACATTGAAGAAATAGAATTATTACAAGAACCAAAAGAAAGGACATTGAAGAAAGGAAATAAATAAACAAGTATGGAAAAAGAAGGACTTTTACAATGAACCAAAGAAAGTACGGTATTTAAAAAAGGGAATAATTTTTTTTTAAAGTACATGGAAGGAAATAAATAAATAAACAAAGAATGAACGAAAAGTGGGTATTAAAAAATGGGAGAACCTACAAATACAAGAAAGAACATTGAAGTAGGGAATTAATATAAAATCGGAAAGAAAAAACAATGTATCTGTCTATATTTCTGAGAATACATTATTCGGACCATTTTCCTCATCTGTGTCGCCATATTTATTACAACGTTTCGGCCTTTCAGTGTCTGTCTATATTTCTGAGATGAAGTATTATGTACACTATTTACATTATTCGGACTATTGTCCTCATTTTTGTCGCCATATTTATTACAAAGTTTCGGCCTTTGAGTATCTGTCTATATTTCTGAGATGAGGTATTATGTACACTATTTACATTATTCGGACTATTGTCCTCATCTTTGTCGCCATATTTATTACAGCATTTCGGCCGTTGTTTGCTCCGGTCTTCTTTAGGTGGTTGGAATGTCGAACTGAACCCTTTATTTTGATCATTGATCGTAGACTGTTCTAACTAACTGGATTTAACTAACGCTTTTATCCACTGTGAACAGTTCAATACCTGGTGAAGGCGGTGGAGAACTTGGAGAAGTGGATTAACGGGGGATAACTAATAATTGACATGTATTAAACTTGGCACACGAAACTAGCACAGTCTACCCCAGTGAGCGAAATAAAGGGTTGAAATTGACATTCCAACCACAGGAAGAACGCCGGAGCATACAATGGCCGAAACGTTGTAATAAATATGTCGACAAAGATGAGGAAAATGTAAATAGTGTACATTATACTTCATCCAAGAAATATAGACAGATATTAACAAACGTCAATAGATCAGGCATAGTGATTAATGACACAAACAGTAAATTGACGTCTCGTAGATGTAGCATTAGTATTAAATTAAAATATAACTGTAAAAATAAGTAAATGTAATCATATTGAAATGGGAAATAGGGAAATATGGCCCCTTAAAACTATTGGCACAGTGGATAAAGGCGTTAGTTTAATCCAGTGACAAGAGCCAAAGAGTGTGAGTTCAAGACTTGGTTAAGGCGGTGGAGAACTTGAAGTGGGGGATTAACATGAGATAACTGGTATTAGGTTGGTGCAAAAATAATGACATAATAATGTCGTTTTTACGTCAAAAAACGACATTATTACGTCATTATTTTTGCACCAACCTAATAACTGACTCCCATTAGACATGGCACATGAAATTAGCACAGTCTACCCCAGTGAGCGAAATAATGTGTTCAGTTCGACGTTCCGACCACTTGAAGAAGGCTGGAGCGTACAACGGCCGAAATGCTGTAATAAATATGGCGACAAAGATGAGAACAATACTCCGAATAATGTAAATAGTGGGGAAAAAGAATATTGAAAATTGATGTAACTGTATAAAGTTAGAAAAAATGATATCATAAAAATAAAGAAATATGAAGGAAAGAAATTAGATAAAAAGCGTAAAATTCATACAAATGCAAAAAGGACATATATTCAGGCCTGTTTTTTTTTAAAATTTTTTGAAAAAGCAATTTCTAAGAAAAGACAGAGTAAATCAGACGAACCGGAAATTATAATATGTAGAAAAGGAAGTAAGCAGTGAAACATTTAAAAAAAAAAATGACCCAAATAAAATTGAATTATGATTGAAATCAAGAGACCGAATGAAAAACGCCTGCAGTAATTGATTGATTAGGAAAATATTCAATGAAGAAATGAAAGAATAAGGAATAAATGAAGAAATAAGAGGGGGTTGAAAAAATAAGTGGGAAAATTTGCTTACAAACGAGAATGAGTCAAACAAATAATAGAACGTGATAAAAAGTTATTCGAAGATAAATCAACTCTTGTCTTTTGGCCAATAATCCAAAGTAGTTTTCAACAGCTTCTGTTTAGGGGCAAATTATATAGGTATACGTGAGAAAAAAGCGAACTTAATTTACGACTCAAGACAGGACCAAAGATGAGATGTACAGTGTAACCCGGATATAAGAGACCCAGATATAAGAGAAACCCTGATATAAGAGAGATTTTCTCCGATCCCAAATTAGAGCCTGTGTTAATGTATATATAATAGACCAAACCCATATATTAGAGAAACCCGGATATAAGAGACTTCTTATCCGGTCCCGACAACTCTCTTATATCCGGGGTTACACTGTATATATATATATATATATATATATATATATATATATACACTAATACACTTATTTTATATACAGTGTAACCCGGATATAAGAGACCCAGATATAAGAAAAACCCGGATATAAGAGAGATTGTCTCCGGGTGGCACCATGCATACCTAGCGAGCTGAAAAGAAATATTCATAAATATATGATTTGTTTTATACGGGTTGTCAACCATTTGATAATTATTTAGGGCTGAACAATATTTCGGGTTTTAGGAATAATTCTTTCTTTACGTTCAAGCGATCTGGAAGAAGGGAAGAGAAAACGAAGAAGAAAGAAAGAAAAAATAATACGAAAACAGGCCAGATGTCGAAAATATCAGGTCAAGCACCTGACCTACTTCCGTGTCCAGGAAAAATGGAAGTTGATTATCAAGTGGTTGAAGAAACAAAGTTTAGGAACAATGAAAATATATTTGATAAGTAACAAGTGGAAAGTGTGATGACAGTAGAGGTCTAAGTGGGTGGGGAAGTGTATCTAAGGATATGAAGACAAACCATTAATACGAAAACATAGACAATTTCCTGAAAATGTTTTTTTTTTTCTGAGATAATGAAAATTTTTATTATCAGGCCTTTGGCCGGGAAAAAGTGAAATATTTTTATTTCGTTCCAAAACGCCAAAAGGTCTGAGAAATTTCTTTCTTAGATCATATCCAATTAGCGATAAACTGCTTGACAAATACCACGTGTTAAAAAGCCGAAGGTGTCATCGCAGTCGCTCATGATAAGGGCAATTTAAATTTTTGTTTTTTTTTAAGCAAGGTGTTTCTTCCCCCAGAACAAAGCCACGGATTGTCCACATCCGACTGAAGACGTCATTGGCTAAATAAGATCACATGACACACGAAGGAGGAGAAAGATGCCCGACCGGGACGTCATTGGCTAAATAAGATCACATGACACATGAAGGAGGAGGAAAGATACCCGACCAGGACCTCATTGGCCGAAAGCGGTCACATGACATTCGAAAAAGCGGGGAAGCGGGTATACGCCCTCAGAGACACAATAAGGAAGTGGGAGTGAAAGTGGGTTACCGAAAATGGAAAATCCCTAACCAGAAACAAGAAGGGTGGATACGTATTTAGAATTAACAAAAGAGAAAACCCTGGCGCCGACAAACCCACCCCAGTTTTGACTGCGTCAATAAAAGCGGGACCCAAACCGACAGAAATCAGATCAGCCGCGGACGGCGAGGGAGTTTGAGCGCGGACGGCGGGCCAGGTTCATTCGCCCCTTTGCGGGCAAGAGAGGCCAGTTCGTTTGGCCTAAGTGAAGAAGTTCGTCCAACCCAAGCCGAAGTGAAGAAGTTCGTCCAATCGAAGCCGAAGAGAAGAAGTTAATTCGCGCAACGACGGCGGAGATGAGTGACCAGTAATTCAGAAGCCGAAGAGAAGAATTTAATTCGCGTACTGACGGCGGAGATGAGTGACCAGTAATTCAGACTCTGAAGAGTTTGAGTTAGAGATCAGCCGCGGACGGCGATAGAGTTTGAGAGCGGACGGCGAGAGAGTTTGAGTTTGAGTTTAAGCCGTGAACGACAAGCAAGAGATGAGCGCCCAGTGTTGAAACCGCGTCAAGATAGCTGACCAAGATTCACGCACACTTCTGGACTCTTCTTCAACCAAGAACAAGTAGTTTGAAGAGCGACTTAGAATCAGACCACAGAAATAAGTTTTTTTTTCGACTTTCGTCCAAGGACACGCCGAAACACAAATTTCTTAGAGAGCAGACAACTGGAAGCCTTAAAGTTGCCTAGTAAAAGCGTCGTGCCACAATCCACAGAAAGGGTCGGGAGGTAGACATAGTCCTATGTACCGAGCAATTAGACATAAAAGTTTGTTACCTTTTTCTTGATACGTTGGACCTTGTGAGTTTTTATTTTATTTCTTTTTTTTTTATACATAATTGTGTGTTATCACCCCCGTTAGACTCAACTTGCATTACGGCCCAAGCCCTGTTTGATCTCGTCTGTCTAAGATCAAGTCACAACGTGGGTAGGCAGACCGGAAAACAGTGCAGTTACCCTGGTAACCAGGCGTTGGAAGCGGGTTGAGAACGACGAGGCTGGTATCAATCTAATCAAAGGGTTAGAACGTCACGTTTGGAGCAGCGAGGAGCGAACAGTAGACGCCGCGACTAAAGACGTCACAACTGGTGCTGTCCGTGACCAGGATATCAGAGCCTGGGGAGCACGTTACGTCACAATTGGCGCCGCGAACGGGATCGAACGACACAGTCGACGCTGCGACCGGGGGACGACGTCACACCGGTCCCAAATTAGAGCCTGTGTTAATGTACAGTGTAACCCAGATATAAGAGAGTTGTCGGGACTTGAGAAGAAGTCTCTTATATCCGGGTTTCTCTTATATCCGTGTTTGGTCTATTATATATACATTAACACAGGCTTTGGGACCGGATAAAATCTCTCTCCTTATATCCGGGTTTCTCTTATATCCGGGTCTCTTATATCCGGGTTACACTGCATATATAATAGACCAAACCCAGATATAAGAGAAACCCAGATATAAGAGACTTCTTCTCCGGTCCCGACAATTCTCTTATATCCGGGTTACACTGTAATATGCTTAACTCGGAATAAAACGAAGGTTCTTTTTGCCATGATAAAGCTAAAGTCACATGCTTGATATTATACGAATTCCTTTCTATATTTAGAAATTTCGTAAAAGATAAAATGAACTGAATATTTAAAGCCTAAGGTGCTTTTGGAAACCTTTCAGCAGGAGATTGTAGGTTTGGAAGAGCGTGGAATCATCTTTTAATTGCTGCTGTTTCCAGCTCCAACATAAACCAGGGCGATAGCACCTGTTAGGGTTCCAGCTATGGGCGAATAGGGACCCCAAAACAAAAAACAAAACGTTATGAATGTATTAAAATACATTTTATATGAAAACAGTACTAATTAAAAAAAAATTACCAACAATACCAATTTATATTATTTACATTGTTCGGACAGTTGTCATCTTTTTTATTGCCATATTAACGACGTTTCGGACGTTGTACTCTCCGGCCTGCTTCAGGTGATTTGAATTTAGGACTGAATCATTTATTTTGACCCCTGGGGTCGATTGTTCTCATCTCAGAAACATAGTCATTCAGTCACATGTGTCAAACGTGATACGCGGTTTGGGGATCATTCATTCTCTCGATATATGACTAATAGAAACAAATCCTACATTTATTCTTAACTTCAAAAAATACAGATGAACTTTTCAGGTACATATGAAAGAGGACGTCGAATATTATACACGAACATTGCATATTAATGCATAGTAACAGTGGAATAAGGGCGGCACAGTGGAGTAATGGATAACGGCTCGGAAACGGAGAACCGAGTTCTAATTCCATTCGAACCCATTGCATTCACTTACGTGCTAATACCCTTGGGAAAGGTGTGAATCCCCCAGCTATGGGTAAATAGCAGGACAGACCGGGTTCTATAAACTTGGATTGCAACTGGTCTACTACAGAAAGAAAAAAAAACTGCCTCGTCAGTTATGTATCACCTAAGCGTGAATCATGCATGCACATAACTGACTGAAAAGCAAGAGGTAAGTAAGGACACCAGCGCATGGCACCCCCTAACGAACTTGTACACAAATGGATGGAAGAAAAGGATTTAAGAGAGATAGCAAAAAGACAAAATTTAAAAAGTACAGGAAATTGGGGAGAGTCATAATCATCAACATCATAAAAGTATACAGCATGAAAAAAAAAGTTCGACTGTAGGTTTTGTCATCAAAAGCTAAAAAATAATACGTGTAATGTTTCAGTTAAGTATAGTAATTGCTGCAAAATCTCAACACGCATGAAGAGAGTTTTAGCATTAGACACGTGTTTCTAGAGAAGGATACGGTGAACACTATGAACTAAATATATGATCAATGATAAAATTGTAGGGAAAATGGAAACAAAAATGCACACCAGAAAGAGACTGTTGAAATTTATAGGTCACATATTAAGGAAAGACACTTTGGAAAGTTTAACTCTAACAGATCATAGTGAACACAAGAGAGAAAAAGCGTATAACCTACACGACAATGAAGACCAATTCTTACAGTAAAAGAAATGTGTTTCTACAGAAATCTACTGAGATTTCCATTGACTGATCATTAGAGCAATGATGAAGTTTCAGGGAAAATAGAAAGAAATAGGACAATTATTCTTAACATCAGAAAATAGAGATGAAACTTTGCATGTACATACCGCGGAAATATAGCGTGGAGCATTTTACACGCACGGAGCAAACTTAAAGCAAGAGGGACGAAAGGAAAACGAAGCTTGTGTTCAAATTGATGGCAGAACAGGTATTATGAGAGATAGCAAAAAAACAGAATTTACTAATAGCTACAAAGGGCAGGAAAATGATGACCAACGTAAGGAAAGGACGATGCACATAGAATGAGTCCGTCAGTATGTTTTGTCCTCAAAAGTTTAAAATATAATTAAATCTTAATTGTTTTTGTTAATTCGTTTGGGTTCTGCTATTATGGATTAAATTTTTTTTTCTTTCTGAGTATCTCAAGATACCTCATTGAAATAAGCATAGCAATTTCCCATTTTTTATCTGGTCTAAAAAGAACGACAGCATATAATAGCCAAATGTATACAACTATATCAACCACCAGGCTGTCTCAATAGGTATGCCTTTTCTCATCAAGAATTATAGAAATACTAACCATAAGATTTTTTTTAGATTTTTTTTTACGGTAATATTATTTTATTTGTTATTTTCTGTTTTTTATCCTAACCTGACTTCCGTTATTTTGTTTCGATCTAAGCGCTTCCCAGCGGATGTTCCAAAGAACGCCTACTTTCCTTCACTTAGCGGTAATTTCGACAATTGAAAATCAATAAAGCGATAACAGGCAAGACAATGACATGGCGCAAAGGCTAGAGAACTTTTGGTAAGAGAAAGAATCATGATTATTCGATTTCCAATCAGTTATTTATTTATTTGATAAATTGTATTGTTTCAAAAATTTTTTTTTTTTTTTGTGACGTGTACCAATGAATATGAGCAGAAATAAGTGATTATATTCGTCGAAAGAGAAAGAAGAAAACAGGAAGCCAAGTAAGTCGTAATCACAAGGAGAGTAAGGAAGAATGCAACCAAGAGCTGACGAGGAAGGTTCGTAGGAAGAGACAGATATTTGTTTGGAAATGACTATGAAAAAACAGACTGGACAGCCAAATATTCTGGCAGAAGTGCTTCTCAAACGGAAAGGGAAAAAAAAAAGAAAAAAAAAAGAAAATAACTACACACACATGCATATATATATATATATATATAGATAGATAGATAGATAGATAGATAGATAGATAGATACACCGAGTGAGCCAGACAAACCTACCTAGGTTTCACCTAAACGGATCGTCAGGGAAAGTTTGACGACCCGTTTAGTTGAAACCTAGGTAGGTTTGTCTGGCTCACTAGGTGTATCTAGGTCTGCTCTACGGTTGCATTGAGCGCTTTGTTAGTTGTTTACTCGTATCTGGGTTTTTTCTTTGGGCTTCAGACCTGCATCTGTGCGATTTTTTTGTCGACAGAAGTTCATGTTTGTAGCTCTTTCTTTTTAAAACCTTTTTTTCCTCGAGATTGATTTGATTAGCAAATCAAAAATTCGAGGGTTTTTCGAGGGTTTTTCTATATATATATATATATATATATAGTTATATATATATATATATATATATATATATATATGTGTGTGTGTGTGTGTGTGTGTGTGTGTGTGTGTGTGTTTGTGTGTGTGTCTGTGTGTGTGTAGATATGTAGAAAAATAGGAAAGAACAACTTACGGAACTAATCCGGAGTTCTTTAGTATTTTTGTTTTTAGGTTTAAAAAACAGTGCTTCATACAGAAGTAGAGCTTAAATTATAATGATTAAAAAAAAATATGATTCCTTTCCTACATAAGAATTCTCATGTTTCAAAAACGAGAGCCGAAAATCTCAAATAATTATTAAAATTAAATTGAATTAAAGTATCAAGCCCTGTTTCATCATCAAGCGAAAATTTAGGAATAACCAATTTTGAAATTTACGCATCTTTATAAGCATGTTCATTCGCAAAATTAAATACTATGGAAATAGTTGGTGCGACCATTTTCATAAGGAGCTTAAGAGTTAATTTATATCCACAGATCAGTCACCTTCGGAAAGAGGTCAAGCCGAGGAAGGGTCGGGGTGTTCATTTCAAAGCGGATGATGGCATTCATGTACGCACATCGTCTGGTCAGTCACAGCGAAAGATAGTTTTTGGAACTGTAATATGTCGTTAAATGTCTTGAGAATTTTGTTTTATTTTATTTTATTTTACTTATTTATACTTCTGTATGGAGGACTGTTTTCAAAAAATAAAAACAAAATACTAAAGAACACCGGATTATTTACCTTTCCTATTTTCTACATATCTGCACACACGCGCCTAAAGATTTAAAATGTATTTTTGATACACCGTGTATATATATATATATATATATATATATATGTGTGTGTGTGTGTGTGTGTGGTGCGTGAGCGGGTGTTTGTAGGAGAGAGATAGAGTGAGAGCGAGAGAGAGCAGTTTCAGAGTTTGCAAGGCCTCTGATCTAGTTCCATAAAAAATGACAGACAAGTTAATGCGGTTAAGTTTTTTTTTTATTAAATCTTTCTTTGCTTTTTTTTCTTCTGGAAATTCGGGCAATTTCTACATAATTTATGTCAAGAAAAGAAGAAAATTAGACGAACACAAGATAAAACAAAAACATTAGATCATCTAAAAAAAAAAAAAAAAAAAACCTTAACCGCAGTCACTTGTCAATCGTTTTTAATCAAACTTGTTGTGGATTCCGGGTTGAAATCCGGTACCAATAAATAACAAACGCCAGGAATGAATATAAGAAAAATAATGCATTAACGTAATAATACAAACTGGTAAAGCAGGTTAGTAGTTCCAGGAATGCGGGTTAGTAGCAAAATATCTATACAGTCTTTTGGTATTGAAGTATCACTGTATGACTTCTTACTGAGTCTACGTGCTCGCTCACTGTGACTCCTACAACGCTGTTACCTCACCCCTCACTCTTCCGGTTACCTACAACCTTTTACTCTCTCACTCTGGACTTGACTCGACTCGACTCCTCGGTCTTGCTCTCTCGGGTCTTCACGTAGCCATAGTATATGTATATACTGGGTGAGTCCATTTGTGTAAAAAAGGGGTGGACCCCTCAACACTTGTATAATAGAGAGATTGCTGCCCAAATACAAACTTATATATATTCGGCGTATGAGGATCAAGCAGATCAGTCCCTAGGAAACTGACAGCCCGACAACAGCACATGAGATTTGATTATAGTGGTGGAGGTTTCGTGCAGGACCATCCACACTTTTTGAAGTGCCGAATACAGAGACCTGGTGTACTACGTGCCACAAGATCACCAAACGCAGGTTTTTGAATTCAGAGTTGTCCTTCTCCTAGACCAGTTGCCATCCAAGGCTATAGAACCCAGTCTGTCCTGCTATTTACCCATAGCTGGAGGGAGGAAAAGATGATTCACAACTTATATATATATATATATATATATATATATATTATACCTTACCCAAAATAACATAATGCACTATTCCATACGTAATAAATACTGAGCCTCATTAGGAAACGGGGAGTTCAGTCTATAGTGATGTCCGTCAGGAGTCTGTCAGTCAGTCAGAGCGAATCAGTCGGGTCAGAGGCATTCTGAAACAGAGTCGCGTTCAGACAATTACAACAAGACATTGGGATAGTGATACTGGTCGAGACTACATTGTTCTCCCTACTAAACCTGATTGTTCGTACTAACACTTTCTACTACTCTGTATATATTCCTGTTTGTAATATATCTGTGTTATTCCATATGCGTATGAGTTCTTTATTATTGGTTCTACCTTGGACCATCCCCGTAGTACAAGGACTTTGACCATAACAATATATATATGATAAAAAAAATAAAGAACAAAGTTGGAAGTTAATCTCAATCATAACATCTTTCACATTTATTTAGGCTCCGTCAAATATCGAAAATAGATGTGAAAAAGCAAAGAGACAGAGAACTATAATGTTATGAGTTTTGCTACTTCTCATTGGTCAGACACGCGTCTCGTGTTTATAAACACAACTGATAATATATAAATATGCGTGAGAAACATTTAGGACGTTAAAGTGAGTGATATTGTAAGAGTATGTAAGTATAGAAACGCTTGTGTGCGTAGATGTATGTAGGACGGTAACGTTAATTCATTTAAGTGTATAAGTGTTTATGTGAGGGAAGTCTACAGATGTCACCCACGTATTTTGTCGGTGAAATGTAGCGATACGTTGTAAAATAATTTTGCATTTGGCTGTATTTTTATATTCTTGTATATGTGTATCTGAGTAGTGTTTGTGGTCGTCGACACTGTGTGGGTTAGTGAAACCAAGTAAGATATTGTAATAATTTAGTTTCGGTTAGATTTAACATGCATATTTTTGAACAAGGGATATTTGGAAAATCCTCATTAGTTTAGACATGAGTTAGATTCATGAATAATGGATCTGGGGAAAATGTCGATATGATATAATATTAGAGTTGGTAATAATGCTGTGAATATATTTTCAAAATATTTACTCCTTAAAGGGCTGTTTCCTTTTTTTAATTAGGCGGGAATTATATATATATATATATATATATATGTACCTCTTAAACATGCATTGAAGAGAATACATATCAATTTATATTTAAGATGTTTGGATGACCACACACACACAGACACATACGCGTACACACACACACACACACATCGCGCGCATATATATATATATATATATATATATATATATATATATATAATATATATATGCTATTCATCTCAAGCCATACATCTCAAGCATAAAAACATAGGAATATTAATATTCCATTTGATCTAGCGAAAAGAATTTGCATAATTGTTTAAAATTATGAAACGCGTAATAAAAGACACCAAGATTTAAAAGAAATTCTACTCAAAAGACATTATCCATTCTTATTAAAAGATAACAGAATGGAACCTGCTGAATCAATAGTTATTCAAGAATTACGCAAAGCAAAATGAAAAAAAGCAACAAAAAAAACTCCAGGAACGTTCAATATTCTATGATACTTCTCCACACACAATCCCCAAAATACAGAAATATAAGTTAATCTTATGAACATGACACAGTTGAGAGTAGCTCCTAGAATGGAAAAAAAAGATCACCCGGAGCGAATAGAATAATCAAAAGCCAAAGACAGCCCTAAATCCATAACGACTTTCTCATCGGTGCCAATTTACGCACCACAAATGAGTTTGCTCTAAGTGCGGGACTTGAATTTTCATTATTGAAGATACAATGTATGAAACTATATCAGGATATTTTTTTTGTGTGAAACACCATTAAACTTCTTGATGAAAAAAATCTAATATATGCTATTAACTGTAAAGGATGTGAAGAGGATTACAACGGCGAAACTAACGTCAACCTCAAAACAAGAATAGCAAATCATCGCCAACAAATACATGACCCCACTATAAGAGGGGTACCAATCTGACGGCATTTATACTTGTGACGTCCCCCGGTGTCCTGCGCCAAATGTGACGTCTGCCTGGCCGCACCCGCCGTGCTATCCTGGTCACGGCACCAATTGTGTCGTCACCCCGAGGTCGCTGCGCCAAATGTGACGTCTGCCTGGCCGCGTCCGCCGTGCTGTCCCGGTCGCAGCGCCATTTGTGACGTCACCCCGTCTGTCTCCGCGCCGTCGCCGTCCTATCCTGTTCTGTGACGACCAATGTGACTTGGTATTGGTCGCGGCACCAAATGTGACGTTCTAACGTTTTGCTGATTCGGATGGGAATCTGGTTAGATTCGGTATCAGCCTTGTCGTTCCCAGCTCGCCTCCAACGTCTGGTTACCGAAGTAACTGCTTTGATTTCTAGTCTAACCTACCCACGTTGTGATTTGATCTTAGGTAGACGAAATCAATCAGTCGCCGGGCCGTAATGCAAGTCGAGTCCGAACAATGTTAATACCGCACAAGTATATGTAAAAGAAAATAAAGTAATAACTCGAAAAGTTCAAATGTGTTAAAAAAGGATAACAATATTTTATATCTGGTTGCTGAATACAGGACTTCGTCTTTCTCCCAAACCGCTATATGGATTCGTGACACTTTGTGTTTGTTAGGCGAGTCTTAACATCTTAAGTTGTTTGTTCTTTAAGAAACTGGTTCTTGGTGTATCTTCAGGCGATATTCGTAAAACTTGTTTCGGTGGTGTGTGTCTAAGTCGTTCTTCAAAAATAAATTGTTGTTGGTTAGAAGTTGAGGCCGAAAATGCGTGAATCTTTCAGTCAGGTTCCTGCAAAGCGGGTCTTCAGAGCTCTCAGCTCAACTGCAAACTACAACTGCTTTCCTGTCTGTGACGCCAACTCAACTGCAAACTCAACTCGTTTCGACTCTGCTTATATGGACGCCGACCAAAACCGGGGTGGGCTTGTCGGGGTCTGAGGTTCCTTGATAATTCGAGATCCGCATTAAGAAATTTTTTGTTTTTGGTCAGGAAAACCCATCACTTTCCATTTTTGGAAATCTTTTACTTTCTACCTTAAGGGAATGGATCTCCCAATTTCTTCCTTTCTCATATGGGTATCTCACCCAATCCCTTCAGAGGCGTCAACAGATTTCCCCTCTCTCTCACAGTGGCATCTTACACCAATCCCTTCAGGAGGCGTCAACAGGCCTCCCCTCCTTCTTCATGGTTTACATTTGCCTACCGCTCACGCCACCCTTCAGCCAATGAACGCCCAGCAGTGTGGGTGTGGCTAGACTAGACTCGGTTTAAAAATTTTTTCTCAAAGAAAAAAAAGTTATCTTCCTGTTTTCTTTCTTTTTCTTTTCTTTCTTTTCTTCTGCCCGACAACAACCCAGTACGACCCGTAGTGTGGCCCCTTAATCTCAATCGAATGTCATCTGGAACTCGTCAACGTGATTTTTGCCAGCATCAAGTGGGTGGTCATCTGGCGACAGCCAATTATTCGTTCTGATAAAATAATTTTCCTATCATAGCCAGCTCCGACACAAAACTGATGCTTTTTCTCAAATGATACCTCCGCAGATAGTTAAGGGTTTAATCTTTCTTTCCTGGTACTCTGCGGTTGTTCCAGCGGACATTTTTCTCGCGACCCAATTAATTTTTATCTCTTAGAATTCTGTCCCGTAGGCCTCTCGGCCAATTTAAAACTTTCATTATTGCCATGGGCAGATGGCTATCTTGTATTCGCTCTGTCAAAACATGAATCAAATCAAATCGACAGGTCCACGAACTTACTTGCTTCGCTAATGAAAATAAAATCTTTATCACTTTTCTTTGTTAGAAAAAATAACATCGTCTTTTCGTGATACATTCTTATCACCTAATTTAATTCTCGCCTTTTTTCTTTTTTTCCCACAACCCTAAATAGTGTCACATACTTATGGGCAACCTAAGTCCGCCAAGTTCCAAGTTTTCTTATTTCATCTTTCCCCAGACAACCAAATGCGAATAAATGAATAAATTTTATTTATTTACAAATACAAAGCACGTCTGAATAAACGCGCTATTACCAAAGATATCCACCAAATCACACATATACATACAAACCCGATTAAAAATACTTATCCATTATACTAATATAATCTTTCTACCTTTATTTTTATTTGATTTCGCACCAAACAAAAAATGTAAAGACACGATGGCGTAACGGTTACCCTGTGTGGAATAGTTAGAAACAGTGGAGGACAATAGACGGCCATTGACGTTGCATATATTTTTGCCGATTATAGTTAGCTGTTATGCATGTTACTGGAAGGAAGTTCCACAGGCGATAAATGCGAGAAAAGAAACTATTAGCACACAATATACGGTTATACAAGGGATGACAAAGAAATACGAAATGTTGTGTAGCTACACAAAATTCAAAAATTCTTTAAGTTGCTCCCGTGAAAATCACTATCTGGATATTTGAAACAATTTTTTTGTCTTTTGAAAATTCTTAGACTATATCTGTAGAGAAGACAAAATGAATAAAATAGACAATCGGAAAATAGTACTTAGTCCATGTCACGCGAGTCGTCGTTCTTTATAAAGGCAAGTGATGATAAACAAAAGCGAAATTCAAAATATTTAAAAGCCGCTCTTGTTTACGCCACTTACCTATATATATATATATATATATATATATATATATGATGATGAAAACATAGTTTTAAACTTATGCTATATTTATGGGTAAAAATGTTCAATATCCGTGAAATACAATAGATAGATAGATATATAGACAGACAGGCAGACAGACAGACAGATATAGAAAGAGAAAGGAGGGAGAGAAAGATTTCCGTGTATTCAAACGTGAGGAGAATGATAAAATAATTTTGGTACTACTATCAGTAAACGTCAACCTGCGTTTGCTACTAGAATTATTTTGGGGGGCTTGAACTTTTATCTTCGGCCATTTGCTGTCAGAATACTGACTTACATTATAAGGTGAAAAAAGAAAAGCCAGCAAATCTTATTATCCTCTGAAGTACAATACTGATAGCCAGTTTTTGGTATCAGTAAAACCGCCATTAAAACTATCGCCCTCACCGTTGTTGTTATCAGAGATACCTTAGCTATTACCTCTTTTTGTTATGTGCCTTGTAGAGAAGTCAAATTAGATAAAAAGGCAATCGGAAAATACTACTTAGTCCATGCCGATGTGTTTCATCATCCGATTTTAGCAAGGAAAATGATGATTAACAAATGCGAAATGTTGGGTAGTTACACGAAATACAAATTTTTTTTAAACACTTTCGTCTGAAAGTCTCTTTTCGGATGGTAATAGATTTTTCTTTTCTCTTTTCAAACTTTTAAAAGGACACTCCTCTTAAAAAGCCTCTTGCTTAACGTTGCTTAACCCCGGTGATCGTACGGAAAAGAATTAATGCCAAAGAAAGGGAGAATATAACAATATTATTTTACCCTCGATCTTCGAGAAACGCGGCCTTTATTGTTATTTTCTCTTACACATTTTATGTATACCTTTCGTTTTTTTTAATCGATTTCGCCCCAAGCATGGCAATAAAGCCACTGAGGCACAGACGGTTACTGGGTGTGGAAGAGTTAGAAACAGAAACATTGCTAATGAACGAGAACAAAAGAGAAATCAAGAGTCTTCGTTTTAAATGCGAGACTTGCATTAATCTCATTGAAGACACAATGTGTGAATCTATATCAGGATAAACGTTCCTGCAAAACTTTATTTCACCTGCTGATCAAAAAAATCTAATATATGCTGTTAACTGTAATGGATATAATGAAGATTACATAAAGCAAAACTTAAAGTCAACCCCAGAAAATGAATGTCAATTCGTCGCCAACAAATACAAAAGACTCCGCAACAAGACAGATAACACTCAGACGGTATTTAGACTTATGGGCATCATAAGTCCATGAAATTCCACGTCTTTCTTCTTCATCTTTGCCCAGACAATACCATGCACTAAATACAAATAAATAAATAAAATTTATTTATTTAAAAATACAAACCACGTGTGAACAAACTCTAAGAGGAATATACGAAGGACTATCCAAGAAACACAAGTCTATTTAAGATCAAAGTGTAGTATCATTTCTGTTTATTTGTAATTGTAATAGTAATAATAGCCGTCTCATTACTAGGAAACATTCCTTATTCACTGACCGAGCAGCCAGTATTATCGAGTTCCGCTTTTCTTCGCTCACTGGCTAATCAAATTGTAGTATCTTTTCTAAACGTAAGGAATCAACACATATCCTAAGCCACAAAAATCTCCTGAGCCGACCAAACATAGAAATGAATACAATATGGGAACCAGATATAAGGAATACCAGAGAAAAGCGATAATAACAAAAAATATTGCAATATGAACTCTGGTAAAAACACGCAATGATAACAACAAAAATTGCAATATGAGCACAGCTAAAAACGGTTGCTGAAGACATTAGGTTGATAATACCCAGAAATTCGTAAAAAAATGTCCACAAGGAAACGTGGTCCAGTGGATAAAGGTGTTGGTTTGATACAGTGACAGGACACAAAATGTGAGTTCAATACCCAGTTAAAGCAGTGGAGAACTTGAAGAGGGGGATTAACAGTATATAACTGAGAAGTGACATCCATTAAACGTGGAACTAGAACAGTCTATCCCAGTTTGACATTCCAACCAAGATGAAGACCATAGTCCGAACAATATAAATAGTGTACATAATACCTCATCTCAGAAATATAGACGGATCCACAAGTTCACATTTCAAGATTGACAGTGTTTGGAGCTTTAAGTTAGGGTCTATGACATTTTAATATTATAATTGTTTAGTATTTTTTTTTAAATATTGGTTTAGTATTTGTTCAGTTATCAAATTATTATTGGATATAAGTATATTTATTATATTATAATTTTCATAAAATTCTCATATTTGAAAATAGTTTGGAACATCACCATGTCCATTATGTCATTATTTTCAT